AGACCCCAAATATTCCTCCTCTGCGCTGTGCATTTTTACTCTACTGTCAGATAAGTTCCACATTCAGACATGTGACTATTCAAGACGCCCCCGTTTTGATGGACACATGATCACAGCTGGATATACAGGTCGGGCACCTGCTGACAGATATTTCTTCACTCCCTCTGTCGATCCCGTTCCTGTGCCTCGTGCCGGATGGTTTGTGGACGTGCTGCCCCCACGCGGCGCACAAGAGACGCACAATTCTGCAGCTGGAGTTTTCGTGTTAGCAGCATCGGGATTCCCTCGCTGTGTCTCTCGCACAGTGATACCGGGCGGTGCCCTCGGATCTCAGGCCGGTCATCTGCAGGTACAGCAGGCTGTTGGGGTCATCTCTGGAGACGGTGAATCGCCCTTTTACCGAGTCACTATATGCTAGAGCTGTAAATGTTGGCGATCCACTCCAGCCCCTTCCCGGGAGCCTGGGGGACCCAGCTCATCCAGTAGCTGCTGAAGGTGAAGCCGGAGGCTTTGCAGGAGAGGCGGAGAGAGTCTCCGGGCTTCTTCACATCCCCTCCGGACTCCACCAGCTGAACCTGCGACCGGACACCTGAGAAGAAAGATGGATTATGGGAAAAATTAGTATCTAGGGCAACAGAATAACAGTCTCCTGACTCTACAAGATATGGAAAGGGAGAAAATACCTTCACACGCTGCTGCAATGAGAACGAGAGACAACCAAAGCCTCATTGTCCCTGTGTTTGGAGAGGAGAGTTTTCAGGGGGGTTGTCTGGCGACTGCCCAGAGACAGGGGGCTGCAGATTGTCTGTCTCACAGCCGTGGAAGTGAGAGAGACACATTTAAACAGGAAACTCTCCCCCTATTTGCATATCTCCCTTCTTAAAAGAGACTCCAATTATTTCCTAGAGCGAACTCGGTTTCTTTGTGTGTGGCTGAGAGAAGGGCCGGCAGTTTATCTCTGGGGTACCCCCCTCTCCCAGTCGGGGTGCGAGCACCACTGGATTAGAGCTTCCTATGTGTCTATAAGGAGTCCAGCTCGCATCTTCTTTCTCCTCTCCCTAACTCCCACATTTAACCCTAACCCTTAAGATAAACCCTCACCTTAGCCTTTATATTGATCTGAACCTGAAAGCGAAAGGAATACCTTAGTTCTATCCCTAAATCCTGACTTCTTCCCTGAAGGGAATTCTAACCCTCAGTGTAAATTCTAACCCTGGCTTTTAATAGCCGCCCTCATTCTCCATCACAGCCTTGACACTAAAGCCCGACCTAAACCTAACGATAAAGATAAAACCATACCCAAAATTTAACACTTAACTGAACACAAACCTAAATTTGTACTCTATCCCTATTTCTAAGGGTAACAAATAACCTTAATCTTTAACATTTACCCTAACCCTAACCTTAAATATATAAACTGACCATAATGCTAAAATTGGACCTAATATTAATCATGAGGTGTCACATTAACCTTTAACTGTAACCTGAACCTCAAATTTATACTCTGTCTCTAAATCCGAACCCTATTTGTAACCGTAAACCTGAACTCTAACCCAAAACCAAGAGCTAATCTTAATCCTAAATTTTAATCCTACCCGGAGGCCTGAAGTCTTGCCATAACCCTCAAGTTTATACCATAAACTGTAGCCGTAATGCATAGGTGGACAGGACTTACATGTTAATGTTAATGGAGATGGGGCACAATAAATAGAATCACATAATGTTGAGTAGCCTTGGAGGCAGAAGTGTCAATAGTCCATTACGGTTTATTGAAAACTGCTGTAACGTTTGAAGCCATCATTTTGAGTTTGAAATGAGTTTCCTTCTCCTGCATGCAGGCTGTTGGACTCCGTAGGGAAGCTTGTGATCTGGATTTTTAACAGTCACTTTGCGAAGAGCCATGGTAGATCAGGATGGGGATGGGTTGTGCCACTCTCACTTCAGGAGCAGCCTGCTTTGTCTCTCTCTGCCTTTGGTTCTGGTGTGTTAGGATGTCTGGATTGTGAACAATAATAAAGTACTATAAAGTTGCTGCCTTTCAGTAAGAATATTGTGTGTGTGAGAGAGAGAGAGAGAGAGAGAGAGAGAGAGCTAACTGTTCTGTGTGCATGTCCTTTAGACTGCTGATGTGTAAATACAGATGAAACTGTCTTTGGAGGTTGTGAGCCCCTCCCCCTTCCCTCCCCCAGGGTTGTAGACCAGTAGCTGTTGGTATAGGAAGTATGCTAGTAAAGTGTCCACTCCCACTTCTTCCCGAAAGCCTTTTGGATCCAAGGCATGATGTAGAGGTTCACCTTACATCCATCAACAGCGCATGTCCAACTTTTTCACTGCTGGATTCGATTGGGTCAGGAGAATCGAAGAAAAGACACCATAGAGAGGAAAGCAATTGGTGAAAAGTGATATGAATAGTGAATAATTAAGTTAAAAAGGTCAGGGGCCTGACTCTGCCTTGATGTGAACCTTATGAGGCCATTCCCAGCTGTGCAAAGAGGAGGGAGGAATGATTTGCACCCACTTTGCTCTTACATTCCTTAGGTGTTAGAGGGGTTGTAGGTGGGTTTCATTTGTGTCAAATTAACTTCCTGGGCCAGTCCCTTGAGTTAAGGGCAGGGATGACTCTGTCCTCTAAAGTATAGTTCAACTGTATGTTCAAAAACTCGACGTGAGAGTCCAGTCAGTCAAATGAAGTTTCATAATGCAAACAGCATGGTGGTGGGGCAGGAAGGGAGTCCCCAATGAGTCAGCTCTTTTGTCTGAGGTACTACTGTCAGTATTTAACCAGGAAATGGGAGCTGTCAACTTTGCATATACTGGATTGGCCTGAAGGGGTTTAAACCAGGAAGCAGGGAGTATTTGGGGCCTGGGTAGGTGTATGGAGCCCAGGGTTTGGGTGGGTGGCCAGAAAAATCGAGAAAAGGCTGGGAGGGTCTCTCTTTAGTTTCATACATTGTCTGATACTTGTTCAGAGATCACACCCACTATGGAGCAATGGGCAACAAGATGGAATATTTTCTGGGAATTATATAGATAAAACCTGACTTTACTCATGGCCTTGTGACCCTTCCTATTCCTGTGCCCAGTGGGGTATTGGTTATGATCTGTAGCCCTTTGCAGCTGATGGGATAAGGGGGAATCCACAGCTGGTGTTTCTGTAGTATCATTTGTCGGTTTCGGTTCACTGTGGGCTTTGCACAGTAATAGGCGGCGGTGTCCTCGGTATTCAAATTGCTCATTTGCAAATAAACCGTGTTGTTGGGATTGTCTCTGGAGATGGTGAATCAACCTTTGACGGAATCAGCGTCGTACGTAGAGGTGATTTGAATGTGGGCAACCCACTCCAGGCCCTTTCCAGGAGCCTAACGGACCCAATTCATTTCATAATCACTGAAGGTGAACCCGGAGGCTTTGCAGGAGAGGCAGAGAGGGTCCTCAGGCTTTTTCACATCCCCTCTGGACTCCACCAGCTGGACGTGGGACCGGGCACCTTGGAATAAGGACATGTTTAGAAATGGTACTGAGAACAAGAATACAATATCTCCCCTTTCTCTGCAATGCATTTAAGAGTGGAGAATACCTTCCAAAGCTGCTAGAATGAAAACCAAATGGAGCCAAAGTCTCATTTTCCCCGCTGCTGGAGGGGAAAGTTCTCAGGGGATTGGCCGGTTACTGCACAGACCCAGAGGGCTGTGGACTGTGTCTCCAGGTGCTGGATGGGCAGAGAGAGGGACAGATTTAAACAGGAAATTTCTCGACCTATCTGTATATCCCCTTCCTTATAAGACACAAGCTCCTGCCCTTTGCTTTACCCTCAGTCTTGAAGAGGAGGACTCAGTGGGCCCCTTATCCTGTGTTGTGAGGTGGCTGGGCTAGGGGATCATGTTTGCGCTTTTACCTAAGGAAGAAGTAAAATGATCTCAAATCCCGAGACATCCTTTCCTGGCCAGACACAGTGTGTTCTTGGGTCAGGGAAAAGCTTCCCTTATTCCTCATTGCCTTTGGGTTAGACTGTGGGAGACAAGAGTATTTGGCAGCAGGACCAGAATCTGAGAAACTCTCTGAGGACAAGGGGAAGCAGATTCAGCATTTTGTAGCCATGGGAGACCTGACAGTGACAATTGGCTGACAGCTAATGTGGGATGGGAATGTCACACAAGATTTTGGGGAGGCCGGAGCCAAATCTCATTCAGTGGGAGCTGCGTTCTGTGATCCTAGTGCCCCCCTGACCCCCCACCCATGGGCCTCTGCTTCTCCCTCAGCAGCCGCCTCCCCCTGAATGACCCCATGAAATCCCACCGTGTTCCTGTCCACAGCCCTTAGCCACGTGACTGTCCCCAATGCCCTGCGGGCCAGCGCTGGGCTGAGTGATGCCATCGGGGGCTGAGGGGCGGGGCCTTTTATCTCCATGGTGACTCTGTGACATGGGGGCACTTTATTGGGGGTTGGGATGTCTCCGCTCCACCCACTGACACCAGCGGAGGGTCCGGGCCGGGATTTCCACAGGGCAGTTGGTGAAAACAACCCAGGAGCCGCTTTGGAAAGTCCCGGCGGCGCCACATCCCCCGGCGCAGCGGAGCGGGGTTTATTCCGGCGCCGGGTGATCTCTGCCCCCCAGCCCCGCCCGGACCCTGAATGGCCCATTTCCACACCCCGGCCTCCATCTCTCTCTGCCTCAGTCCCGCTCTGACCCAGGGGCTGTGATCGTTCCTCTGCCTCCCGGCAGCTTTGGGGGATAAAGGCAATAACCGCGTGCGAAGGGCGGAGATGCCCCGGTGAGGGGCCCCACATCGGTGATAATGAACTAATCACCTTCCCCTGCATTAATGCCATAAACATCCCAGTTTTCTGAAAGGGCCAGAGCCTCCCTGGTAGTAAATCAGGAGTAACTCGAGTCCAGTGAAAGCAGTTGCGGTGTCTTTACACTGTCGGAGGATTTGCCCCAGGAGCAATTCTCTCCACCCGTTGGGTCTGATGCAAACCCCAACGCTCTTGTCCCCTTTACACTGAGAGACGCTGGCCTGTGAGTCTGACACCGAGACTGGCCCAGCGGGAGCCAACATACCGGGTCTGCGGGGGGAGAGCGACTCAGAACAGGACTCACTCCGGATTGGAGTTCACAGATGAAGCGAGGGATCTCTGCACTCAGCGGGGCTCTGGGCAGGAAGGGGAGACACATTGCCCGGGAACGGAAGGGTTAAACTGGCGGGAGGTTTGTGTCCCGTTCCCCCGGGTGCCGGGTCTCCTGCCCGAGCCCGAAGCGGGGGGTGTCGCTGCTGCCCCCGCGCGGCCGCCGGGAGAAGGGCGATTCCGCAGCCTGGGTTTTTGTACGATCACAAACCGGTTTGGTGTCACTGTGTCTCCCGCACAGTAATAGCGGGCGGTGTCCTCGGGCTTCAGGCCGGTCATTTGCAGATACAGCTCACTCTTGGCGTTATCCCTGGAGATGGTGAATCGCCCTTTCACTGCATCGAGGTAGTATATACTACTCCCATCGTATCTTATATAAGCGACCCACTCCAGCCCCTTCCCGGGAGCCTGGCGGACCCAGTGCATGTAGGCGCTGCTGAAGGTGAACCCGGAGGCTTTGCAGGAGAGGCGGAGAGAGTCTCCGGGCTTCTTCACACCCCCTCCGGACTCCACCAGCGTCTGGGACCGGACACCTGGGAATAAAGACAGGCCATTAATGTCGGTATAAGAACAGCGAGAACACAATATTCTCCTAACTCCGCCAGGTCTTCAGAGGAGGAAAATACCTTCCAAAGCTGCTACAGCGACAATGACAAGGAGCAAAAATCCCATTTTCCCGGGTGCTGGAGGGGAAAGTTCTCAGGGGACTGGCTGGTGACTGCACCGACCCAGGGGGCTGCGGATTGTGTCTCCGGGTGCAGCCTGGGCAGAGAGAGGCAGAGATTTAAAGAGGAAACTGTCTCCCTCATTTGCATGCCCCGCTTTATAAGAGACACACACTCCTGCTGCCAGTGATCGGATTGACTCGCCCCAGGGCTCTGGCTGCAGGAGTCAGACTGTCCCGTCCTGTGTGTCTGTGCAGCGCCGGGCACAGGGCGCTGGGGTCCTCCTGACACTTTTGGACCCTGCGAGGAATGAACAGCTCCCTGCAGTGACTGTGTTTCCTCGCATGGGAACTGAGGGTCCATCTTTTTTCACCTGATATTGGGGGGACTCAGCTCTGAAGCCCAGTTCCACAAGCATAAGGTCCATGCAACGTCTGGTCAGGGGGGTCAGTGTGCAATGTGGGGGAGGCGCAAAGCCTTGTCTCAGGGATCGATTGGGTGGTGCCACCCGCTGGAGGAGGAATATTTCCCTTGGCGCTGGGAGGGATTTGGGAGGGAAGCCAAGAAAGACGGCGGCCTGGATTCCAGCCCCAACCAGCTGTGAGAACAGAGCAGTAAACTGAACAAGACTGCAGGGGATTGCAAAAACTAGTGAGAAGGCAAAGGTCAGCGAATGGGAACATAACAACCCTGAAGCTGATGTGTTTTGGGGAAGCCAAGGAAGCCTGGGAAGGCAAGTTTGGACTGATACAAAGAGCAAAGGGGACAAAGGTCCCTGGAGGAAATGCCCCCAGAAGAACCCAGGACTTAAACCCCTCCCGAGCACTGAAGCAAGTTGGAGATCAACAGCAGCCCTTGGACGACCTGTGCACAGGACAGAATTCCCTTCCACCTCTTCCCCCACCTTCTTTCACGTTACACCCGGGCTTGGCCAGCCTCGGGTAGTGCATGTCTGAGTATGAAAGTGGATTAGGGCTGGGGCATTAACGCTTCCTTCCTTCCTCTGAGTGACGTAGGGAACCCTCAGCACTCTCCGCTGTTATTTTACTTTATTTTATGAATAAAGCTTTAAACTCAGTCACTTGGTGTCCTCCTTCATCTCCTCCCCTAACGATCCTGCGGCCTCAGCCTGATCACCTGATGCCTCAGGCAGATTGGTAACTTAATCTGTCACAAAGGTACCTATTGGACCCAGAAGAAAGGAGTTATTTGAGAGCAAGCAGGAGCCTGGTGAAACTGTCTGGGCATATGCATATGAGATCCAGGAGAGAATGAGCAAAGTGGAGGGGCGAGACCCTCGACGAGTTCCAGACCCAGATATGTTTCTGAAAGAGCAGTTGGTGCTGGGGCTCCAGGATGATTCCTTCCACCATGACATTAAAAGGTGGTTTAAGGAAGAGCCCAGTCAGAAATTCCATTAACTCAGGCTGGCTGCCATTATGTGGTTGGAAGAAGAGGAAGTTCCTGTGGCAGAGACGGCCAAGCCGAAGTCCTGTCCACGAAGTGGGAGCCTAGTGAATGCAACTGCTGGGGAAAACACCCTGCCCCAAACACAGTTAACACTGGAAAGATTAAGTGAAGCTGTCCAAAAACTGGCAGTCCAACAGCTGAAAGTGATGACTGTCGTGATGAAAGGAAAAACCTCCACTAAAATGCCAAAGTATCCAAGGACACCAGGATCCTGAAGACCCCCACTGCAGGATGAGCAAGGAAGGTACATTTGTTACCCTTGTGAAAGGCCAGGGCATACTAGCTGAGAATGTCCACTGAGAAGGAGAAGAGAGTCCCAGGCACTGGAAACCAGTGGGGCACCAGGAGCAAGTGGTCCATCTACAGTAGAAGGCCAAGCAGCGGCAGAAGGATTCCTCGGCCTGTCGTTGGTGGAAAATCACTCTGCATACAGTGTTGAAAGGGACACGGGCAGTGCCAGCATATCTAGTGACTTCCGTAAGTGAGCATTTGGAGACTGTCTAACTGCTGAAGTATGTATAGCAGGGGTGGAAACCAGATGTTTGTTAGATACTGGCTCAGAAGTCACCACCATTACTGAGTTATTGTTTGAAAGACAAGGAGCTGACCATGCACAGCACACAGTTTCTATGTCTAACAGTAGTTAATGGACTGGCAATCCCAGTGGTGGGATGCCTCGAAGCAGACATAGACTACATGGGTCAGACTCTGCCAGGGAAATGCATCTTCATCCTGAAAGACAAAGCCTCTGAAGGGAGCCATGTGGGAGAAGGAGTCCCAGGGATTCTAGGGATGAACATCATTAGTGAGCTGAAGGAGCTACTGTTGCCGGTAGAAGGAACCAGGAGGATAAATTGCCATGGGCACCCCGAGAAGAATACTGTGCTGAGTCGAGTACTGGCTGGAGCAGAGAGACAAAACCATTGACTGGGCCCTGCGGGGCAGATTGGAAATGTTAACGTGGGCAGAGAACAGAAGAGTGTTGTTCCTCCTCGGAGAGGGAGGGTCCTTGATGAACACTGCTGGGTACCAGGAAATACCAATAGATACCTGTGGGACCCCACTCGATATTCCCTCCCAGCTTGACTGTGAATCATTCATAACTACTATCTGAGTACATTTGCTAAGTCATTGTGCACCTACCTTATAATAGGATCATCAGTGTTTTTTCCCCTGGTTTGCTTATGAGAAGGCGATCTGAGACCATATGAAATGTCTGACTAAAGTTGAGATATACCATGTCTACTGTTCTTGTCCCCGCCCCCAACCCTCGTCTTCTTACCCTGTCAAAGGATATGAGGTGTGTTTTGTATGGGGAGACTTTGGCAAACCAGTAAAGTGCCTGAAACCACTATGGCGTATTGCTAAAAGCAGCCAAGTCAGCAGGCTGTAAATTGGCCATTCAGCACTCTCAGTTTGACCAAGGCAGGAGCGGGAGTGATGGAGGGGAGTTTTGGGTGCCACAGAGAGGGCAGCTTGACCCTGTGTCCTTCCTGATAAGAATTGTGTTGAAGTTGCTGATACATGCAACTTAGAAGAACAGAATGTGTCCCAGGAATGTCTATTGGGGCCTCAAGGCTGCAAACTCTGGAAAAACCCACACCTGGTTAATTGATAATCAGAAGGAATCTCTCGCTTGACCATTGAAACTGCTTACTTAACAAGTTTGCTTTAAGGGACATGTCATTCTATTACTAAGGTATAAATAAGGGGGAAAAGTTTTTATTTACTGACAGCACCTCACACAGAGTAAAAGTTACGAAGAGTTTTGGGTTGAAAGAACCCCGGGTAACAGATTTGACATGATTTGTTAGTTGTCACCTCATCTTCCAGGTACTTGCAAATTGATTATTTGCTCCATTCTTTCCGGGTGCAGAAGTTAAGTTGAGTGGTATATAATTCCTGGGTTGCCCTTATCTGCTTTTTATTGATAGGTACCACTTGCCCTCTTGCAGTACGCTGGGATCTCTCCTGTCCTCCGAGAGTTCTCAAAAATATTCTTTAATCGCTAAGATCTCTTTGGCCAGTCCCTTAAGTATTCTCTGGTGTATTTCATCTGGCCCTGCTGACTTGAGGATGTATACATCTGATGAAGTGAGCTGTAGCTCACGAAAGCTCATGCTCAAATAAATTGGTTAGTCGCTAAGGTGCCACAAGTACTCCTTTTCTTTTTGCGAATACAGACTAACACGGCTGTTCCTCTGTAACTCGTCTAAGTAATTCTTATCTTGTTGTATCCCTATTTTAGCCTCAGATCCTACCCCATTTACACTGATGTTCACTGTTAGTCCTCTGATAACTGATAACCTTTTTGGTGAAAACCTAAACCAAAATGGCATTTAATATTTGGGCAATTCCTGCATTTTCTTGTGACTGTGTTTCCCTCCTCGTTGAGCAGTGGTCCTTCCCTGTCCTTCATCTTCCTCTTGCTTCTAATGTATTTGTAAAATGTTTTCTTGTTACCCTAAATACTTCAATGGTTGCGATTCTCAAACACTACAGTAATGGGGACAGTATAAAAACCTAAGATAGCTTGAGGGCTAGAGCTCAAACATGGCTTATTAAAAAAAGAGAAAAAAGATATGCAAATGCATATCCTTAATGCCGTGCCTAAGTCATTTAATAGCTCTGCACCTGCATGGCTAGGACACAAGGAGGGGTCTGGGCAGCTAATGCCGGGACACCATGAGCACTTTATCCAGCATCAGAAGCATATTTTGGCTGAATTGTCTCTTCAGTCTAGTGGCCTGTAAAGGAATGATGGTTTCTGACATTTTCTGGAGATATTGGGGAATATTGTGCTCTATGGGCCTGGTGCAAAGGTCAGTAAAGGCAAGGGGAGGACTTCCCTTGGTCTGAGTGGCGTTTGGAGCAGGGCCTACTGGAATGTTGATTGACGTTTTTGAAGGGGACTTAGGTAATGGGGTATCTAATTCCCCTTGACTTTACCCTTTGAATATTCCAGATGTGATTCATGATACTTTCCTCCCGCAGGAGCTCTGTGAGAGGTCCAGCTGGTGGAGTCTGGAGGGGGTGTGAAAAAGCCCGGAGACTCTCTCCACCTCTCCTGCAAAGCCTCCAGCTTCTTCATCAGTAGCAAGTGGCTGGATTGGATCCGTCATGTTCCTGGGAAGGGACTGGATTGGGTCTCCAGTGTAGACAGTGCAGGTACCCCATATGACCTGGACTCAGGGAAAGGGCAATTCACCATCTCCAGAGACGCCTCAGGTCACCTGGTGCATTTGCACATCAGCAGCCTGAAACCTGAAGAACCCGGTGTGTATCCTTGTGCTAGAGATATGGGATCCCTCAGTGATTCACTTCATTACAGATACCCTAATGGGATCCTGCGCTGGAGAAAGTCACTAAAGAAAGTGAAAAGAAAAGGAGTACTTGTGGCACCTTAGAGACTAACCAATTTATTTGAGCATTAGCTTTCGTGAGCTACAGCTCACTCTTTCCACAGTATGCATCCGATGAAGTGAGCTGTAGCTCACGAAAGCTTATGCTCAAATAAATTGGTTAGTCTCTAAGGTGCCACAAGTCCTCCTTTTCTTTTTGCGAATACAGACTAATATGGCTGTTACTCTGAAACCTAAAGAAAGTGAAATACTCTGACTGCCTTCTGCTTCAGTCACAGAGTACAAGAAATTCAGAGAATCCTAGAAAGGTAGGGCTGGAAGAGGGACTTCAAGAGATCATCTAGCCAACGCCCCTGCACAGAGGCAGGATTAGATATACCTAGACCACCCCTGGTGGAACCTTTCCTCATCTGTTCTTAAAAACCTCCAGTGGTGGGGATTTCACAGCCTCCCTAGGTAACTGGTTCCAATGCTGATAGTGAGATATGCTTATCCTTAGAACGTTTTTTCCCCCTGGTATCTAACCTAAATCTCCCTTGACGGATTTTCCATTTGTTTATTTTCTCAAAGCCATAGAATCATAGAGGCGATAATTGCTAGTGACGGAGAATCCACCATGACTCTTGTCAAGTTGTTCCAATGGTTAATTCACCTCAATGTCTTTTTAAAAAAATCACCTTATTTCCAGCTGGACATTGTCTAGCTTCAGCTTCCAGCATTGGATCCTGTATATATATATATCTTTGTCTGCTATACTGAAGAGCCTGTTATCAAATTTCTCTTCCACATCTAGGTACTTGGAATGCAAGCAAGTCACCCCTTAATCTTCTCTTTGTTTTAGATAAAGCAGATTGAGCTCTTGGAGTTTCTCACTATAAGGCAGGTTTGTCTAATCCTTTAATCATTGTGGTGGTACTTCTCTGAACCGTTTCCAATTTATCAACATCCGTTTTGACCTGTAGCCACTGGAAGTAGACAAAGGAGTCCAGCAGCCGTCACACCAGTGCCAATTACAGAGGTAATATAACCTCCGATTCCAACCAGAGATTCCCCTGTTTACCAGGGGGTAGCCTTTCAGGGAACTACGTGAGTCTTTCTTTAAAATTGTCCCTGGGAATAGGATATTTCAGGAACTGTGCCTTGTGTATACTTCTCTGAGGACATGACTCTTACACTAGGCTTTTCAAGCCCCATTGAGAATCCCAGCCAATATGGTTACACACGTGGGTAAAGGTCAGCATGGGTGTAAGTGCTTCCAGGACTGGGGCCTGAGTATTGCTGTGTCACAATAGGACATTTTAGGGGCTCTGCATATTTGATGCCATAGTCAGCGATGACTTCCTCTCTCGGGAGCGGGGGTTTATGAATGGCCGTGAATGTGTTTTTTCTCACTGTGTGTTTTGCACAGTAGTACGCGGTGGTGTCTTCAGATTTCAAGCTGTTCATCAGGAGATACGTTGTGCTGATGGAGCTGTGCGTGCTGATGGTGGTTCGCCCTTTGAGTCTCCGGGTAGAAAGTGTTGAAATTATCAGTCCTAATCGTTGCTACTCACTCCAGGCCTTTCCCCGGAGCCTGTCGGACTTAGCTCATGGAGTAGTCAGTAAATGTGTAACCGGATGCTTTGCAGGTGAGCTTCACAGACTCTCCAGGCTTTTTAATTTCTGCCCCAGGCTGAACCAACTGGATTTGGGACCCAACACCTGTGGATAAACAGGAAGAATGCTTACTAATGTCTTTGACTTCTCCACCTTTCCCCTTGTAATTCAAACAACCCCTCTGTAAAATATTGATAGTAACCCTTTCTTTCTCCCACCCTTTATCTATCTGGTCTGTTTAGATTTTAATCTTTTTAGGGCAAGAACAGTTTCTGTCTGTCTGCACAGAGCCCAATGAATGGGGCTTTGATGTCAGTCTGGGTCACTACAAGCTACCTTAATATTGCTTATGAGAAATTCATAGATCTTTTTGGACATGCTCACCTGTTAAAGTTGCTAGCAGGAAGAGAAAGCAGAGCAGAGGGGCCATGGTTGCTGTTCTCAAACACCAGCTTCTGTGGACCCAGAGAGAGCAAATTGCCTTTGCAGGTGAGTTTTTACTCTGAGGTTTTAAACAGGTGATTCCCCTACTTTATTTGCATGTGGACAGTGCAGTGGACTTAAAAGTCCTGCAGGCGGAAGATCTAGGGCTGGCTTGGTGCATCAGTGTGGCTTGTCAGCCCGATTATTTCTGTTACATGATCCCATTGCTCTTCTGTCTCATCTCATCTGTTCTTCTGCATGGTGCCTGGTCGCCTTTGTCACAGAAAGCAACTCTTGAGATCTAAGGGAGTGAAGGGCTTTAGGCCCTCAACTCCCATTGCCTTACAATGGGATTTGGGCACCTAACTCCCTTAGGTTCATTGTGCTTGGTGGAGGGAAAAGAGAACCTTTACTCTACCTTGATTTAAATCCAACATGTCATGTTAGAGCTCCTTGCCTTATTTGAACTTTATTTTAGATCTTTGCACTTCTGGCTGGAAAGTATAAGACTTACAAATGCTCTGTATGGTAAAGAACAGATGAATTAGTTCTGAGGCGCACTGAGGATGGACTAGATGGGGGATAAAAGGGGTGACAGAATTCAGGAGAAACATCCCAAGAAATGGGAGAACCCAACAGTCCCTCTCGTTCAGTCTATTTGCTCCAGAACCAGCTGCCTCAGAGGAAACCGCATGACATCCTCTTGCAGCCCATTCTAGAATACTCTGCACACGAGGGGAAACGACTTCCCAACACCTCCTTGGCTCTGTGTCTGTGCGTTTGTTTTTGTGTAGGTGGACGGGGAGATCACAACGCTGGGGTCACCAAGGAGCTTAATGACAGGTTAGTCTCTAAGGTGCCACAAGTACTTCTTTTCTCTTTTCAAGGAGCTTAAGGATGTTAGACACTGAAATAAATGGTATTTATGTGCTCAGTACTCTTAGCCTCCTTTCAAAATCCCAGCCGGACACTGGGGCCGAGTGAACTTCACAGTGAGAGTTCAGGCATTGGGTAAGCTTAGGTGCCTACAGGATTGGGCAGCCGTTGAATGGGGGTTTTGTGAATATAGCCCTTAGTCATCAACACTTTCCTTTGTGCAGGTGAATAGTTCCATTGAACTCAGGAGCTAGGAACTGCAAAGGAACCCAAGGGAAGTAGGCACCCAACTACCTTTGAAGTTCAGTAGGATTTGGGTGCCTAACTCCCTTAATTCCCACTGAGAAGCCCAGCCCATGAGACTACTCATGTGAGTAAAGGGAAACATGTGTGTAAGTGTTTCCAGGATCAGGGCTTCAGATTTGCTGTGACATTAGGGCACTTGGGGGGCACTGCATTTCTGATACCACTGTCAGCAACAGTGAGCCATTTCAGGCAGGGTTGATGAGTGGCCAGGGATGTGTCTCTTCTCACTGTGCCCCTTGCACAGTAATACACAGCACTGTCTTCAGATTTTAGGCCGTTCATTTGCAAATACGCTGTGCTGAGGGGAACATCCACGCTGATGGTGACTCGCCCTTTCAGATTTTGGGGATAGAAGGTCTCAAAAGTATCTGTCCTGATGGATGCTACCCACTCCAGTCCTTTCCCGGGAGCCTGTCGGATCCAGTTCATTCGGTACTCATTAAATGTGTAGCCGGACGCTTTACAGGTCAGCTTCATAGACTCTCCAGGCTTTTTGATTTCTGCCCCAGACTGGACAAACTGGATTTCGGACCGGACACCTGCTGATAAAGAGCAAAGAATTATTGAGTCCTTTAGCTGCCCTACATTTCCCCCCACCCTGCCAGACACCCACCCTTAGTCTGCCATGTCTATTCAAGGTGAGGTTTTCAATGCCAACCAGCACATACGGCTGTCCAATTCCCATTCAGATAAATGGGAACTGTGGGGCCAACCCCCCTAGGTAGCTTTGAAAATCTAAAGCTAGGCACTTCAGGAACAGTGATTATGTCTCGCTTTGTACAGGGCCTAGCACAAGAGACCCAGTCTCATCGGGGTCTTTGAAATCTTACTGTTCTAATACCAACTGTAAGGTCAAAGTTAATACTAATTCCACTACTATTACTTTTGCTAGTACTATTTTTATGTCTCCGAGGGGATTTGAATGCCAATTCCCACTAATTTTAATGGGAATGGAGTGTTCCAATCCTTTAGGCAGCTTTGAAAGTCTGACTCTAAACGACGTAAGATGCCTTTGCTCATTCTTACCTGATAACACTGCTGCTAAGAAGAGGAAGCTTAGCAACGGGGTCATGGTTGCTTGGATAAAAGAGCGTCTGAGGAGATAAGGAAGCAAATTCCTTTTGCTGGTGACAGTTCCCACTGAGGCTTTAAAGAGGAAATGGCCCTACCTCATTTGCATATGGGTAATGCTGTAACCTTAAAAGTCACAAAGCGTGACTGGGTGGAGTTTGTCTGAGGCACTCTGGAAAGCACTAGATTAGACGTGACGTAGCAACATTTTCTGGGCAGGGACTGTATTGTTTTACTTTTGTCCTGCACTAAGAGATCTTTGGGGCAGTGCTGCAAATATAACCGACTCTCCTGCTTTGGCAGATGGGTGCAGCTGAGGCACAGAGGTTCGTCTAAGACCACACACAGTATCTGTCAGACTCGAGCTTGGTAAATGAACCCGTATCCCCCCGGCTCTCAGACCAGTGCATAAACTGCAACCTTGAACTCTTAAAGCAGAAAAGTGTCCAGAATTATCACACTTGATGGCAACTGAAAATCTGGAAGGGCTATTAAGCCTCTTGCTTCAGAGTTTAAGCCAATCTCTAATTATTAGACACCAGGATGAGATCTACTTAGTGACAAATTATACCACATATGCCTGCTGAGTGGTTCTTATGCCGTCCTCTGAAACATCCGAGGCTGACCCCATGTAGGTACTGCATATTCCTGGTGAATAACTAACGTCCATAGTAAAAGGTATAGTAGATTTCACTGAGGAAATGTTAGCATAATTCACATAGACAGAATGTGTGGCTTTGTCCCACAAAATTAATTTGAATTGTGGTAGCACATAGGGGCCGAATAGAAAGTAGGACCCCCTGTATCTAGGCATCAATACATATATATTCCCTATCCCAAAGAGTTTATGATGTAAATAGACAAGGGATGGGAGGGAAAACAGAAGTTCAGTGGCTTACGAATACAACAAGGGATGGGAGGGAAAACAGAAGTTCAGTGGCTTACAACTACATCGTGGGGGTCAACACCAAGGAGGGAGAAGAACTATTAAGGCTAAAGGATAACGTTGGCACAAAGAACAAATGGAGACAAACTGACCACGAACGCATTTCGGCAGGAAATAAAGATTCTAACCTTTGAAGGGGTGAGGGTCTAGACCAGCCTCCCACTAGAAATAGTGGGACCAAAATAACTAAGTAGTTTTAAGATGGAGCTTGGTGAATTTATGAGCTGGGATATGTGCCGGGGTTGTTTGGGAGAGAAGGAACTGGACTAAATGACCCAGGAGGTCCCTTCCTGTCATGTGTTCCGGTGAGTTTCCCAAGATCACACAGCCCATTCACGGCAGAAACAAGAATAGACGCCAATTCTCCTGTCTCCTAGTCACGTTTGGAAGTATTAGACTTTTATCAGTAAATGTTGATTTCACTGTACACACACAGACCAAAAAAATTTCCATTGATAATAGCTGAAATTTACAGATAGGCAAAGAAAATGCTGCTTGTGAACTTAGTTTGATTTCAGAATATTTACACCGTATATTTTGACATGATGTTGACCATTTGTGTTTAACACTTTAACTTTTTGAATCTCAGTATCTACCAGTATTTTATGTGTCCAATCCCCCAACTGTGAACATTTAGATAAAAATAAAAATAAATCTTAAAAATAAGTATTAATATCTGAAATCAGAGCAAAATAAAAATTGAACTCTGCCAAGCCAACTCATATTCCCGAACCCTGTTCACTGGATCAATTTTATGAACGGTAAGAGACTGCTGATGCTTCAGGCTAAGTACATTCATGGGGAGAAAATATCAGGAACTAAAGAGATCTTTTAATGTTCTGGATAAAGACATAAGAACCAATGACTGGAATTTAAAGCCAGACATTCCAAGTAGAAATCCAAATTTTTGACAGGAAGGATGTTTAACTTTTGCAACAAGCAAATGGCAGACTCTCCATCTCTCAAGGTCTTCAGATCAAGAGAGGATGCCTTTCTGGAAGATACTTTAGTCAAACACAAATTACTGGGCTCAATCCAGAGGCAACTGGATGAAATTCTTTGGCCCGGGTTATGGAGATCAGACTGGATGAACTAATGGTTCCTTCTGGCCTGAAAAATCAATGAACATAATGGATCTGAGTCGAGGACCAATGAAGTCAATAGAGAGACTCCCATTGACTCAGTGTTCCTTGGGCCGGGCTTACAGCTGAATAATAGAATCTCCTGCTTCTAATGCTGAGGATGCTGCTGTGGATTGAGTGACATTCGCCTCTGGGTTATTGTACTAGCCTGTGATACAGTGAGCAGCACAGTGATACGTTGCACTGTCATCCGCCTACAAGTTCCTCATTTCCAAGTGAACCATGTTGTGGGTGTTATCCCTCGTGATACTGAACCGCGGCCGAAGAGACTGCGGCACGTTCGTTGATACCCCATTTGTGCTGACCTCTCCGATCCAGGTCAGTCCAATCTCACGGGCTTGCCGGACTCATTGCATCCAATATTTGGTGAAATTGAAGCCAGAAAACTTGCAAGACAGCTTCAGGGACTCTCCCGGCCTTTTAACTTCTGCAATTGGTTGAATCAGGGACACTTGGCTCTGGAAAACTAAAGATATAAAGATATGTTTTGTAGGTAGTCAGATACTGCAGAAGCAATGATATTAGCAAGATAGATATTTTAGAAGATTTCAGAGAGAGACTGCAGAAGGATGGATGGATGGATGGATGGATGGATGGATGGATGGATGGATGGATGGATGGATGGATAACTTGTTCATGTGAATATGTGGCTAGAAAAAAGCCAGAAAAAAAGTTTCCTTAAAGAAAATCCAGTAAGGGTCGATCTACACAGCATCTTGGAATGAGCTTCCCAACCCAGTTCTACAGACTAGGACTAGCCAGGTTCACACTCGTGCTGTAAAAATAGCTATATAAACAGCACTTTGTAGGTGCAGCTTGGGCTGGAGCTGAGTCTTTGAAGCCCATTCCCCCACAGACTATTTGTCAATCCAAAATGCTGTGTAGACGTACCTTTGAAGACCCTAGTGGAGCTCAAGGTGCTGTCACCACTTGGGTGTTGTAGTTCATAAATCATTTATATCATTCAGATCATTTGCCAGGAAGAGACTTTTCTCTAGGTTCCAGACAACTCTACCTACCCGCAGAGCAGCTCAGCAGTATGGAGAGACAAATGAAGGTACACATGGTGGTGTATATGAACAACAGCAAAATATTTGGCAGAGGGAGAAGGCAATAGAAATGGGTAGCCTTCTTCAGAAAGAAATTGTTCCAGACAGTCTTTAATAGAGAAAAAGGAACTCACATTTGCATTAGGATGACTACAAAATAACTCAGTCAGCCCCATCCCCATGAAATTTTGCTGTCTCTCGGTTCATCCTATGCTCTAACTCAACCACAAGTTACGGGTTTGCCATGGGAATCACTGGGTGAGGTTCTCTGGCCTGTGCTGACTTTTCAGCTTGGAAAAGAGATGACTAAGGGGGGATTTGATAAAGGTCTCTAAAATCATGACTGCTGTGGAGAAAGTAAATAAGGAAGTGTTATTTACTCCTTCTCATAACACAAGAACTAGGGGTCACCCAATTAAATTAATAAGCAGCAGGTTTAAAACTAACAAAAGGCAATATTTCTTCACACAGCCGCACAGTCAACCTGTGGAGCTCTGCCAGAGGATGCTGTGAAGGCCAAGACTAGAACAGGGTTCAAAAAAGAACTAGATGTAAGTTTATGGAGGACAGGTCCATCAATGGCTATTAGCCTGGATGAACAGGAATGGTGTCCCTGTCCTCTGTTTGCCAGAAGCTGGGAATGGGCGACAGGGGATGGACCATTTGATGATTCCCTGTTCTCTTCATTCCCTCTAGGGCACCTGGCATTGGCCTCTGTTGAATGACAGGATACGGGGCTAGGTGGACCTTTGATCTGTCCCAGGATGGCTGTTCTTATGTTCTTATGCTATGCAGAAAGTCAGACTAGATTATTTTAATGGTCCCTTCTGGCTTTGAAATCTAGAAATCTCAGAATTCAGTTTTCAACTGTCCAGGCTGGCTTCAGAGGGTGGCATTTTCAAAGTGCTGGAAGGGATTTAGACACTCAGTATGCAAAGTTAGGCATCTCCCACCCTTAGGCTCCTCTGGAAATTAAAGCTCAAGTTTCCAGGGCTTTATTTCTGGACTAAGTCAAGGGCTGCTGACTTCTCCTCCCTTCCAGAAAGCGAAGATTAGGGGACTGGAACACATGAGTTATGAGGAGAGGCTGAGGGAGCTGGGATTGTTTAGCCTGCAGAAGAGAAGAATGAGGGGGGATTCGATAGCTGCTTTCAACTACCTGAAAGGGGGTTCCAAAGAGGATGGCTCTAGACTGTTCTCAATGGTAGCAGATGACAGAATGAGGAGTAATGGTCTCAAGTTGCAGTGGGGGAGGTTTAGATTGGATATTAGGAAAAACTTTTTCACTAAGAGGGTGGTGAAACACTGGAATGCGTTACCTAGGGAGGTGGTAGAATCTCCTTCCTTAGAGGTTTTTAAGGTCAGGCTTGACAAAGCCCTGGCTGGGATGATTTAACTGGGAATTGGTCCTGCTTTGAGCAGGGGGTTGGACTAGATGACCTTCTGGGGTCCCTTCCAACCCTGATATTCTATGATTCTAAGAGGCAAGGCACCACCGTGAGAATTGACAAAGCCCTCCTGGCATCTTTCACAGCCTTCCTATAGCTCCCAATCCCCCAGGGGCTCTCCAAATGTTTCCCACAAATATTTCTATCTTTTCTTCCTCGATAATTCCTGTCCCACTGCTGCCAGATGTGGAATAGCCATCACATTTCTCCTTCTCAGCCCTCTGCTGCCATCATATGGGCACTTCACCTGGTCAGAGATTTTTTTTAGAAAAAGGCATCTACCTCTGTGACATTTAAAAATAAGTTGAACTTATTTTTCCCTTTCCAGTGAAAATAGGATTTGTTCTCTGCTCAGTGACTTCTTTTTCCTGCCACAATCCTATCAAAAACCTCTCAGCTTCTTCAGTATTTCTGCT